CTCTTATCTCTGTTCCTGGGCAAGCCACTGAACCTCTCTGAATTTTGGCTTACTTATCTATAAAATGGTATGATAATATTTGCTTCATAGGGCTTCTATAAGAAATATACCAAAGTAAACACTGAATAAACAGTAGCTATCATGTCATAATTATCACATCATCATAAGGAAAATTTAGAAAAATTAGCATACACTCAAACATTTACTGAGGAACTATCATATGCTAGTTAGTATCTAGGCACTAGGAATAAAATGGAAAAAAAAAAAAAAAGGCCACTATAGAGAGGACCCGAAGTATATTTTATGTTGAATCCGCATTTCGTAGTTCATCTCAAGTACAAACTTCATATTCTGTTTCTTAATTTCTAAGTAGGGCAATTATTTTAAGTTCCTCCTATAAAAATTAAAGGTTGATTTTTTTTCCCTTTGAAAGGGAAAAAATAAGAAATTGTCAGGTTCAACCAATTAGGGCATGTCTAAGAAATCCTGAAATCTGAAAAACGTGATAAAACTTTAATTTAAAAGGAACCTACAATTAACACCACCTTTCAAAATTATTCTGAAATTAGTATAACAAATTATATTCAGATGTAAAATACACAAAATAGACCAATCTGTTATTGTGATAATCTTTTCAGAAAGGCTTGGGCTAACAGATGTAAGGATTTAAAATCAAGTTCAATGGGGCGCCTGGGTGGCTTGGTTGGTTGAGTGTCTGACTTCGGCTCAGGTCATGATCTCACAGTCCGTGAGTTCGAGCCCCGCGTTGGGCTCTGTGCTGACAGCTCAGAGCCTGGAGCCTGTTTCAGATTCTGTGTCTCCCTCTCTCTCTGCCCCTCCCCTGTTCATTCTCTGTCTCTGTCTCAAAAATAAATAAACGTTAAAAAAAATTTTTTTTAATAAAAAAATAAAATAAAATCAAGTTCAAGTATTTCATTTGCTCATTCCACTTAAATGACAGATGGCTTAAATATTAACCCTATTAACAAAACATCTGCACTTTCATTATGAATCTACTTGCCTTACTTCATAACTCCATAAATTCATTTTATTAATTTTACTGTATGGTTGCCCATTTCATTCAAGGTCTTCTAAACCCTTGCCTCTCCAAGTGTGGTTCTATAACCAGAGCATCAGCATCACCTGGAAACTTGTTAGAACTACAGAATTTTATTCTGCATACCAGACCTACTGAGTCAAATGTGCATTAAAAAAGAATCCCCAAGTGAGTTCTTTTTTTTTTTTTTAACGTTTATTTATTTTTGAGAGACAGAGAGCACGAGTGGGGAAGGAGCAGAGACAGAAGGAGATACAGAATCCAAACCAGGCTCCAGGCTCTTAGCTGTCAGCACAGAGCCCGATATGGGGCTGGAATCCATGAACCCTGAATGACCTGAAGTTGGATGCTTAACCGACTGAGCCACCTAGGCACCCCCTCCCCCAAGTGATTTTATGCACAATGAAACCTGAAGAGCAAAGTTTTAAATTCTTGATCTTTTTCCATACCTTTTTTTTTAACAGTATTACAAAAAGTTTATTTGCTTCCAAACACTGATTGACTTATCTCCAGATAGTAACTCTTCATCAAGAATAATTCAATTCAGGGGCGCCTGGGTGGCTCAGTCGGTTGAGCGACTGACTCTTGGTTTCAGCTCAGGTCATGATCTCACGGTCTGGTTTGTGAGTTCGAGCCGCATGGGGCTCTGTGCTGACAGTGCAGAGCCTGCTTGGGATTCTCTCTCTCCCCCTTCTCTGCCCTGCCCACCCTCAAAATTAAAAAAAAAAATTTTTTTTAAAGAATATTTAATTCAGACAAATAAATCCAATTGATATACATATATTAGATGTTCTCTATATAATATTTATGTCTCAGACTTGACCTCCCCTCTCAACCATGATTTCAAGTCTTAGAAGACTTGCTGTACTATCCATATTTTCTCGAGTCAACATTTTTGTGAGCATTAGCATGTGGCCACTGTGACAAAATCTTCTGTGTAATTAAACAACTATATAGAACAATACCAGATCAGTTCCCCCCATAATTTCAGAAAAAAATGAAAAATTCAAAATAATTTCAACCAAGGTTGAACTTGAAAGTTCCCTAGGGGGGGAAAAAAAAAGAAAGTTCCCTAGGGAAAAGACGACCAGAATGATTCTATCCTCCACAATAATATATTTTTATGCTTTACCTAACACATATTTTTTACTGCAGGTACCACATAGTTTTAAAATAAGAAATTCACATGGGACTTAGTACAGTTCTTTAGATGGCTCATCTTTTATTATTACTATTACACAATAGTCACAGTGCACATAAAATAGAACAAATCTTGTTTTCTCTTTCGCTTTTCCAAAAAGAAAAATGACAGACCTAGGCTGAAACTGATCACAGCAGGTAGGATGCTTCAGCACAGATTCAAAGGAAGGTACAAATGTTCAGTTTTCAAAAGCACTGCAAAAGCCAACTTCATCTCTTGTCACTGGAGCTGTGGCTTTATGCCAAACATTTGAGAACTGTTGAAAAGTGCCATTCCTCATAAGCAATTATGAAGAGCTTTGCAAAAAGAAGGGAAAAATAACTGCAATAACAATGAACTCCTTACAATAGCCAAATGTCCATGGCCTCTGGGCTGCAGAATAAGAATCCAAGAGTTACCCATGTACATCTGAGCCAACGCACCCAACACGGATGCCTTGGGAGAAAGAGTTAGAAGGGGTGTTTAGAGAAGGTGTGAAGGAATATTATGGGCAATCTCAGAAATTAAATATGTCCTCAAACATGCCCAGGTTTTTTATAAGACACAATTATAGATCAGTCATCCTTCAATTTAACTTTACTCATGCCTTTTTGCATTTGCAGACTATATAATTTTCCAGAATATAGACAGCATTCTACAAGAGTACAACTAAGTATTGAACTCCCTTTTTATGGCCCTAGATATATTGATTTCAAGTTTTAAGTAGTGTCCCTAGCTATAATATTCAAAAATTTGGCGAACAATTCATTATGCCCCATCTCTACTCTCATCCACAGCCAAGTCTCTCAGAAGAATGATCTAGGAATGTTAGCTCCACTCCCTCACCTACCTGTCACTCTTCAACCCACTGCATCTGGTTTGCACCACTTCACCCCACTGAAACTTCTCTTAGTAAAGACCATAAGGACCTTCATGTTGCTAAATCCAACAGACATCCCTTTGTTATCATTTTTCTCTACTTTGCAGCATCATTCAACAAAGTTCACTGTTCTCTCCCTCTTAAAACAACTTTCTGTAGCTTTGATAGACCTGCTTTCTCCTGGGTGCCTCCCAACCCCCTGTCCCTTGTCAGTCTTCTTTAGGGACTCTGTCTACTCTACCTGACCTACAAATGTTGGACTATCTTGGGACTTGGTCCTGGAATTTCATGTAATCTCGTAACTATAAATACCATCTTCATGCTGTTGACCCACCTTCAGCCTGATAACATATTTACATCTCCAACCCAGATCTTTCTTCTACACCAGTGTACCCAACTACCGACTCAACATCTCCATATGAATGTTTCATAAACACATTTAAACTCAATACATCCAAAACTGAAGCCTTGGATCTTTCTCTCACTGTTCCTCCTCCAATGTTCTCGATTCCTTTACCATTTACCCAGTTGCTCCTGCTAGAAGCCCAGAAGTCCTTTACTCTCACCACTCCTACCCAATCAATCTCCAAATCCTATCATTTTGGCCTCCAAAATATAGTTTCAATATGCCATTTCCCCAACCTCACTGTCATCCTCTCCAACACCCCCTCCCACTCTAGTCATCATCACCTGCCTGCTGCAATGGCATTCTAAGTGATCTTCCTGAATCTACTCCTATTCCCCTTCAATTCTGTCTTCAGACTTCGGCCAATGATCTTTCAAATATGAAGATTCTCCTACTTAAAACCCTTCAGTGGCTTCCAGCTTGTTTTAGGATGATGTTCACAAGGCACCTGTATACCTCTCCAGACAATCTCGCCTCATGCTATCATTCCCTTTGTCCTCTAAATACCAGCCTTATTCTTTTCTCCATACATTATACATGCAGAGGTTTTCCAGGTGTAGGGCCTTTGCATTTGCTGCAAACTCTACCTGAAATATCTGTTCTTTTACTCTTTTCCTACCCATTGCTACCCAAATCACACTACCATACACATGCACAGGCACAATCCAAAACTTCAGGGTCCACAACTAAGTCAAACCAGATCGAAAGGAACTAAATGATTAGCAACGCTTGGCGTTAAAATATACCAAACATACCACCACCACAACAGAAAATAATAATAGCAAACCCTTCTATAAATGTATAACGCACTGATTTAAGTAATGTATATATGTTGACTTATTCATTGCTCACAACAGCCTTATGAAGTGGTTACTATTACTATCTCTATTTTAAGGTAAGTTAAATAAGGTACAGAGGGGATCCATAACTTAACCAAGGTCACAGAAATTCAGTGGCAAAGCAAGGATTGAAATTTAGTCCTTCTTCTGTGGGAGTGCCTGACTGCCTGTAGCGTGACAACTTGGTTATGGACTATTCAACCATTGCTTCCACATAAGGGGTATGGAACCGGTCTAATAATTACAAAGTTATTTGGATAAATACTGTGTCCTCCGCTAGACTGGAAACATAAATGAGGGTAGGGGCCATTTCGATCTTGTTCACTGATGATATATTCCCATCACCCTGAATAAAATCTAACACATAATTGACGCTCAGTAAATAATCTATATTAAATATATGATTACTCCCTTGCAGAATTATTTTGAGAACGTATTGGGTCCAAACATGAGATATTACACAGATTTTTTTTTGTTAGCTGTAGCCATTCCTGTCAGTCCCGCGGTGTTCCCTCCTCCTGCCTGCATGGCATTCGAGGACTGAATCCTGCGTGGCATCTGGCCACGGTCTACCCTCCCTCCCCCACCTACCCCACAGGAGTGAGCACCTCGCGGCTTTTCCCTCCCTCAGGCCTCACCTTCCATGTGAGGGAAGAGGCTGTCCCCGGGCCCTCACCAGGACCAGGAGGCTCTCCGGTGCCTGAGGGCATGAAGCGTCCATACCGCTGCAGAGGCCATTGGGTGGCACCTCCTCCCGGGAACGCGAGGCCTGCAGGCTCTTTTCCCGCCTCCGCCATGTTCAGCTTCCCGACGTGCACTGCAGGCGGGCACCTGCCAATCTGCGCAGCCAACCAATCAGGAAGCGAGACGGCCCAAAGCCCACCTCCCCCACTAGTGGAAGCCAATGGACGGGCCCGAAGACTCCTGCATGCTTCTGAGGCTGTAGGCACCTGAACTCTTGTGACCTTCTCCTCTTCCTTGGCAAAGTGGAGATAGTAACTTCCACCTTGAGGAGGGGCTGGGACTCTAGGAGATAGTAGTTGGCCTCTCCTCTACATCCTTGAGGCCCTCACCTTCCCTCAGGCCGCCCGTGTCACGGTCCAGCCCCTCAGACTGGGACATTTCCGAAAGCTGGCGGACTCCCTGTAACTACGCGCTGAGACTAGGCCCGCTGACTGAGGCTGTGTGGACAAGTATATTTCCCTTACTCACAGCAGCCTTTCAGATGACAGTGCCCCTGCCCACCCCAAACCCATCACAACACAGCATCAATTCCACCCGCCGTTCAGGAAGTAAGGCTATTTTCTCCTCGTTCTGTGGACATACTCCCTCCAGACCCTTAAGTTCTCTCCAAAAGAGAGAAGCAAATAGGTAGCATGCTGCAGGCAATAAAAGATGTGCCTCAATCAAACAGCAGGTGCAACTAAATGACAGGTCTGGGTGATTTAGAGTCGTTGACAAAGCACTTCTACATCTGTTATTTCATTTGCCCTCCCAACAACCTTGTGAATTAAGCAAAAAAGAGATTATTGCCCCCCATTGAATAGATGGGAGGCAAAATAAGGCCCTGAGGGTCAAATCGATTTGCCCAGGGTTACACAACCAGAGCAAAACTGTCGTCTCCACAATCTCTCCCAAGTGTCCACCCCACTTGCCAAGATTTTAGGTAGTCACCGAGTCTGTGTCAAGTCAGAAGCAGAGTATACAGAGGATGGAGACTATGTTAACCAAACCCATAAAATAGAGTTATAATGCAAATAATTTTTTAACATTTATTTATATTTAAGAGAGAGAGAGAGAGAGAGAGAGAGCAAGCGGGGGAGGGGCAGAAAGCCAGAGACAGAATCTGAAGCAGGCTCCAGGCTCTGAGTTGTCAGCACAGAGCCTGGTATGATGCTTTAATCTACAAACCCCGAGATCATGACCTGAGCCGAAGTCAGTCGCTCAGCCAACTGAGCCACCCAGGTGCCCGGTGCAAGTAATTTTTTTAATGTTTATTTATTTTTGAGAGGGAGAGAGACAGACACACACACACACAAAATCTGAAGCAGTCTCCAGGCTCCAAACTGTCAGCACAGAGCCTGATGTTGGACTCGAACTCACAAACGGTGAGAGATCATGACCTGAGCTGAGGTCGGACACTCAACAGACTGAGCCACCCAGGTGCCCCACATATAATTTTTAAAACTGAATGTCAAAGGGTAGTAAGTGGATAGACAATGGTTGGAGAGGTGGTAACTTATTCATCCTTCAAAGCACCGATTAAATACCCACAGTGTGTCTAGTCACCCTTTGTTTACAGAAATGGTTAAGGCATGCATCTAGCCTTCTAGGACCTCAGCATCTTATAAGAAAGGTGAGAGGTACCCATGATACCTGATAGCTACTGCCACGTGAAAGGTACAAACCACGTTCTCTAAGGATTCAGAGGAAGAATGGCAGTGGCATTTCAGTGTGAACTTGAAGGGTGAGAAATTTTCCCAAGGGAAGACAGAAGAAACTGGAGGGCAAGTTGAGGAGCAAAGTTTCAGGGGTGAAGATAGTGACATAACCAGCTAGAGCGCAAGGTGTTTTAAGGAAGATGAAGCCACAAAGTTGAGTTGGGCCAAAGAGCACTGAACAGCAGCTTAGGAGAGTGAATTTTACTTGGTAGGTGATAAGCAGCTTGGAACGTGTGTGTAGGGGAGTGACACTGTTATAATGGTGGTCTAAGGCAGGCTAATTTTTGGGGGGCATACAGAATAAATTGCATTCAAGGCAAAGGATATATGTTACTTATCTTTCCATTAGCCAGTAGAGCTTGAAAGGGTCAGATTTCAGAAACTGTTTCTGAAGGTCCTCAAATGACACAGCACTACTGCATTTAATGTAGTAGTGAATAGTTAGAAATTTGGTTGGAATCCCAGTTCCACCACTTGCCAGCTGTGTGACCTTGGGGAAGTCACTTAACCTTTCTGTAAAATAGGGTTAGCAAATACAGGGCCACAGGAAGGATAAAATAAGATCCTATGAGGGAAAATACTTGGTAAGCTACAAAGCAGTACACATGTTGGTGCTTTCTATTTGCAGGGTTAAAGTGACTTTCTGTGGGCTCCCTGTAGGCAGGAGGATGAGAATGGGAGCCTGACATTCGGTCTCAGAGGCACTCACCTTCCAGGTCCAGGGCTGTGGATGCTGTCAGACACCCTTCACAGGAGCAGATGGTGCTCACAGTTGGGACCCTGTCAGTGCCCAAGGACACCCAGGGCCCTGCTGGGTTCCCACCTGCAAGCTCCCTTCCTAGACAATGCACCTGTGCTTGAGCTTCTGGGGCCACCAGTGTCTGCCAAGAACAGATCATGTCTGCAAAGGGAGATATGAGAAAGCCACACCACAATGCACAGAGGCTCTTAAAAACTTATGATATTAACAAATGCGACTCGAGTATTCAAAAGGTCCCAGATGCTGTGCTAGGTGCTGGGGATACAGTAGAGAACAAACCAGGTATGGCTTCTACCCTCCTGAAGCTTACAGTCTAGCAAGAGGGTGGAGGGAGTTGGGGAGGGGGTGCAGAACACTGAGCAAATTACTCCTTATTTTTAATGGTCATTGTATTTTCTTTCTTAAAGATAGATCTATAATATTTATTGAGGTACAATTTTATACAATGAAAGCACAGATCTTACATGTTCAATCAAGGAAGTCTGGGCACCTACGCTCGTATAATCACCATCCAAAAAAAAGATATAAAACATTTCCAAAAGCCCCAAGTTCTCTTAGAAGTGCCTTGTTCTTGTCAATCTCTAACTCCCAAGAGCAACTGTTGGTCTGTTTTTTATCACTAAGGCTTGGTTTTCCTTTTCCTGGACTTAATATACATGAAATCATACAGAATGTACCCTTTTATATGTGCTTCCTTTGGTCAGCATAAATTTGTCTTTTACCTTCATCCTGTGTTGTTATGTGTATCAGTAATCCATTCCTTTTTAGTGCTAAATAGCATTCTATTGTATGATTGTGTTGTAATTTGTTCTTCACCTGTTGATGGTCATTTGGGTTGTTTTTGGTGCTCTTTTATTTTTTATTATTATTTTTTAACATTTATTTATTTTTGAGAGACAGAGTGAGACAGAGCACGAGTGGGGGAGGGGCAGAGAGAGGGGGGCGTACCCAGAATCCAAAGCAGGCTCCAGGCTCTGGCTGTGAGCACAGAGCCCGACGTGGGGCTAGAACTCGTGGACCATGAGATCATGACCTGAGACAAAGTCGGCCGCTTAACCAACTGAGCCACCCAGGTGCCCCGTTTTTGGTGTTTTTTTAAAGCTGTTAGGAATATTTTTTGTACCAGTCTTTTTCGGAGATATGTGCTGCCACTTATATTCAATATATGCCTAGGAGTGAAATTGCTGTATTCTAGGGAGATGTATTTTTATCATATACAAAACTGCCAATGAGGGGCGGCCTGGGTGGCTCAGTCAGTTAAGAGTCTGACTCTTGATTTCGGCTCAGGTCATGATTTCACAGTTTCTGAGATCCAGCCGTACATCCAGCTCTGCTGACAGTGCAGAGCCTGCTTGGGATTCTCTCTCCCTCTCTCTCTGCCCCTTCCTCACTATCTCTCTCTCTCTCAAATAATAAATAAGCTAAAAAAAAAACTGCCAAAGAGTTTGTGACAGGGGTGCTTATACAATTCACACTCCTTAATAGGAAAATATGAGAGGTCCAGTTGTCCTCGCTGACCTTTGCTTTCAAGTCCTTTTAGTTCAGCAACTCTAGTGGATATATAGTGACGTCTCATTGTAGTTTTAATTTGCATCTCCCTGATGATAAATAATATTCAGCCCATTTCCAATGGCTTACTGGCCATTTGCATATCTTATTTTATGAAGTGTCTGTTCAAATCATTTGCCGTTATTCATTTGTAAGAGTTCTTTACATAGTCTGGATATAAGTCTTTTGTCGGACATATGTGTTGAAAATATTTTTCCCGTGCTGTGATTTGTCTTTTCATGTTCTTCATAATGTTTTTCAAAGAGCAGAATTATTTAATTCTGAATGGAAACAATTTATTAATCTTTCAGGTGCTTTTTTTCTTTAGTGCTTTGTGTGTCCTAAGAAATCTTTGCATACCCTAAGGTTGTTCACATGCTTTCCTATGTTTTCTTCTAGAAATTTTATGGTTCCAACTTTTACATCTAGGCATATGGCCCTAAATTGTTTGGAGGAAATGAAGTAGGACTTAAGGTTGTTTTTTTTTTTAATGCAGATATGCAATTAATGTTAGATAGGAACAACCTTTTACCAAGGACTGTTGGAAATTGGCATATAAATACCCCAATCTCTTCACTCCTCAGGTGGGATAACTTTGAGATTTGTGTAATACCCTGTTTCCCAGAGTTCACTCATGGGATTAGGCTCCAGTTACCCAAGCTGTAACTTTCTTCATAATGTTTCTGTTTTTGGCTAGCTTCCCTTCCCGGTCTCCCTCTCCTGTCTTCCTCCCCAACCACTGTTTCCTGGAATTGCCTCTCAGATAAATTACTTTCAGGAATCTTTGTCCCAAGGTCTGCTTCTGAGGGAACCCAAACTAAGACAGTGACAAACAAGACAGACAGGTCCCCCGCCTTCATGTATTGTCTACAATATAGTTGCATACAAGAAGAGAGTACAGGAGGCAGTAAGAGGAGAAAGAAGTCACTCTCATATCCAAAGCAGACCCGCCAACGTCAAGCTGACCACCAGTAACAGAACAACAGCATTTGTGGTCAGGACTAATGAATGACAGGTGACTATGAGTTAGCACCTCTCCCTCCCTTTTC